AATCAAATTGTGCCCTAAAGAATCAAAATCGAATCGAATCGTGAAGTTCTTAACAATACCCAGCCCTAAACTTTGTAGTATTTTGATGTGTATGTTTTTAAATGATTTAATGATGATTTCAAGAGATCCCACCACGTACCACTAGAGGCAGCGCACGTTCCACCGTGAGCATTTGTTCAACCTAAAAATAAACCCACTTCTTTTTTCATTCCTTTAAGAAGTCATTGTACTGATGATAATCATAATGGTGTAATACTGTATACCGTTATATCGTGACACAGTGATATTTTCTGAGACGGTTATTGTACCTCGAAAATCTCATACCGTTGCAACCCAGTGTAGACACAGACATACTAAATAATTATCAACTTTACTTTTACCACCAGATATCATGGCTGTAGGCTGTCCTATTCCTGCGTCTGCTTCATTGGTGCCTTTGAACATTATATCATCAAAATGAAAGAGGAAAACAGAAGAAAGCATCAAGCCCAACCAAAGGAAATGAATAATTAATGAGTGAGTTTGTATCTTCTGAAGTATCTGGTGTATTACTTTGATATTGGATATGATAGCACCATGCATTTTTGCTGCTGATAACTCAGAGATTTAAAATATCCACGTTATAGTTTAGAAATAGCCTGAAGGGGCCGACCACTGGCCGACGATCATCCTTTTAACCGCTGTTGTAGCCATAAGTAGGATATGTTTGCCTCCTTAAGAGGTGGACCGCTGGACAGTACCATATTACATAAGAACAAAAAAATGATGATGGTTAGCGCTGTAAACGTGGCTTCCCTGTCTAACATGAACTGGTAGTATGGCATTTGTATGAGCCTTAGGATGGCTAGCCAACCTTTGGAGCCCACAGATGACAACTTGGTGGGGATTTCCACAGTGTGACTTTATTCCGCAGTACTCATTGGCCATACAGCGCCACTGCAATGGCTGTTATTTCTGACAGTCACACGTCAGTGAAAGAAATGTGTTTTCCACCTCCACTACAGCTACGAGATTAGTTATATTTGGCCCTTTGGGAACGTTTTTTTGAAATGCTAAGTTAGTGAGTAATTGTAATGGAAGGCTAATGGAGAGAAGAAGCTGTTTTCATATTTCCGTGCATTAGTGTAGATGTGTTGGGATGTTTGCTGTAGACTCTGGGTGCTGTGGGTTTTTTTTTATTCTCAGGTAATGAATCTCATTTGCAGCTAATTAAAATTCCCTCCTTAAGATTCACACTTTCAAAGAAAGTCATGTAGATTCATTGTGAAATCGTATTCACACAGCTGACTACTTCTGCTTTGTCTTAGCTCAATATGGATCTGTTCCCACCGTCGCCAGCAATGTTTAGACTCCGTTGCTTTTTTTGAATCTTTAATTTTGTTTCAGTACCGTTGTCCAACCCCTTGTTTTTATGCCCATTATCAATTTGGGCATAAAAGCTGAGTGGAAACACCAGAAAGTTGAAAACATTGGCGTATCGATAAAAGAAAAATACAGTAAAGTGCAATGGAAAGACTTGGGGAATTTATCATGATGTACATGAAGTGTGTGCTCCACTGGAAAGATGAAGAACATCAGATCTGTGTGGCGCGATGAGGATATGTCATATTTCCCTCATGTGTTTTCCACTGTTTGAGGTTTGACTGGCGCTCTCTTAATTACATCAGCTGGTTGCGGCTTCTTCTTCTGCAGTGTTTCACTGGCACCCAACTGGACAGTTAGCACCACCGGCTGTTAATCTCGATGTGCCCGACTCTCAACACGTGCAGAGCAGTTGAGGATTGAGACATGCATTATGTTTTATGTTCTTTTGGAGATTTTCTGGGAATTTTGTTAGAATTGGTCCACTTTGGTCCACTTTGGTCCACTGACATTGTGTTTCTGTTGTCCCATAACTCAAGGCTGCTGTAACTGTAACTGTTAGCATTCAGGGACCCTCAATCAAATCTCTGTTTTATTTTACAACTGTCTGACAGCAAAGAACTAAACATATGTTGTGTCTAAGCGCAAGTATTCAGTTTACATGAAACAAGAATATGTTGTGTTCTCGTATCTAATACATCTCTGTATAGGATTTCTGGGATATGAAGTGCTAAAGAATTTGTGATCTCTTATAGCTGTTTGGGACTGCTAAAAAGCATCTTGAAACTTTGCCTCCAGTTCTCTTAATACATCCACTTGTAATATACCCCCTCCTCCCTGAAGGGCCTGACCCCCCGCATCATTCCAGCTGCTGTGGGTTGAGAGGGATTTGTGGCTCTATCATGTGCAGGGGTCAGACCTTACAGGGCCAAGGGTCTCTCCATTAGTTACATAAGAGCTTTAAGCACCATGCCACCGACATTACCTCCAGGGTCCAGATTTTATATGAGACCTTTTCTACTCTACACTACCGGGTGTAGGTTAACACCAAACCTAGACGTGACTGCCGGGATAAAGATACCCAACTGATTCCCAGTTTATTTGAGATGATGGGTTTTGGACCACTTCATGGTCAGTGTGAGCAGGAGGAATGAACCACTAATAACTCTTCAAATATACACAACAACATACTTCCTCAGTTAATACTGATCATAATTTGCTAAAGCTAAAGGTGATGCAATCAAATATGTCCACTTGTTAAACCAGCAGTCCAAAACCAGGGTTCCCATGCCCCCTGGAAAACCTGGAATACATGGTGCTGATTTGTAGTCCCATTACTGCTTCAACAAGTAGTGCCGCACCGAGACCGACCTTCTCCGGAGAAGGGCCAAACTTTTATTGTGAAGAACTGATGTGAAGTCATCGCTCCCTTTTCATTCAATCTTGAGCTCTCTCGACCATTGCGGCTCTCTGCCTGTGGAGACACACCTTCCAGCGGGTGGCCCTGTTGTTGTGGAAATGCAGATTCCTGCCGTGCTGCTCTGGTGCGCCGAGCCAAGCAGCACGCACACGTGTGTGTGTGTGTGTGTGTGTGTGTGTGTGTGTGTGGAAAAACGCCATTAGTTTTCCAGTCATGGAAATTGATTAAAATGACCAAATATCATGGAAATTATCAATGTTGTCCTGGAAAATGTGAATGGTATTTTAGCCCCTCACTCAGATCAGAAAGAGTGGCAAACCTTTTGACTCTCCCAACCTTTTTTGGCTAAAGAGTGATTTTTTTTTTGGCTGTATTTGATATTTTTATAATTCCCACTTATCAATGGCAATGTAAAAACACAGTGTGAAAGGGGTCGCTCATAGTGACCTACAGAAAATGATCACCTGAAGCTCCCCAAAGCTTTCTGTAGCTTTATAGTGAGTTTCAGTCAGTTTCCCGCTCTGATAAAGCCACCGTATGCGACCTGCTCGGCACTAACAGCAGACAGAATACAGTTAGGGACTAGCTGGTGAACACAGAGGAGCATTTAGCAGCAAAAGAGCCACATTTCCCTCAGGAGTTGGTGGAGACCCAAAACAGAGCTATAACAGAGTGAGTTAGACTAGCATTCACCAGGCAGAAACAGGACTCCAAATGGATGATAGTGTTGCTCCGTGTTTGCTGGATATGTTGTGTGTTTCTGTTGCCCCCAAGTGGCCAAATAAGCATTAGTTAACAGCAATACGTTTTCTCTACTTTCCTCCACTGTGTATCATGTCCTCAGATTTACCTTGTGAGCCCTTCTGGGGTCCTGACCTTCACTACCCTGTATTACACCAGTGATCTGTCCTCTGGATTGACACGGCGGCCTGACACCGGAGTCTCCTTGGTGTTTGGAAGAGCCCTTTTTATTGTTATATGTGATTTAATATCATGTTAAAACAAGGTAAAGCAGTAAATCCTCACATTTGAGAGGCTGTGACCGGAACATTTCTGGCAGTTTTGCATGGAAAATGACAATTAATTGATTATCCAGATACTTGTGGATTCATTTTCTGCCTATTACTTGTTGCAGCTCTACGTGTGTGTGTGTGTGTGTGTGTGTGTAATATGTGTATTTGTCTCCTTTCTCCTTGAGCCTGCTGTACAAGAGAGAGATGTTATACATAGTCATGGGTGAACAGTTGAGTGTGTGTGTGTGTGTGTGTGTGTGAGTGAGAGACGGAAAACCTGCGAGAGTGAGCAAGAAATGTAGACTACAAACAAATACTGTTAGGGACCGGCTGCCGCTCGGACTCTACATCCCGCCCCTCTCTCTCACTCGCTTGCTCGCACTTGCTGTTTGTTTAGGGAAGAGGTGCTCAGGTGAAGCGTTACCACGGCAGCCAGCTCCATGGTTGCCAGGCAGCACTTCCTGCTCCTCTCCAGAAGGGGAGGGGCCAGGTATTTTAGGAAATGATGGTGTGAAGAGGAGGAGGAGGAGGCGGCGTAGTGAGAAGGGGGAGAGAGAAGGAGGGAGGGAGAGAGAAGGAGTGAGAGAGAGAGAAGGAGTGAGAGAGAGAGAGAGAGAAATGCATATTTCTTGATGCTCCTGTAGCATCGAGACATATGACTCAAGTGGTAACTTGTTCTATCTCTTCTTTCTTGCTATCTTGCTTTGTGTGTGTGTGTGTGTGTGTGTGTGTGTGTGTGTGTGTGTCATTAGGCTAATGGAGCAGTTGGCCAGCAGGTTAGTCTGTCACAGCTAGTTAGCTCCATAACCTACACATACACATACACAGACACTCACCCACAGCTTTTCATCCCATTATCTGGGCCCCGACACTGTTACCACGGCACCCAGCCCAGTTGCTGCCGTGACACCGGGCTTCCTGTGACTTCTTTGGAGAGTTAGCGGAGTTGAAGAGGAGCCACACACAGCAAAGGCACACCAGTTGGACCCATTCATTATTTGGATGTTAGATTTGCTAGTTTCCCATATGCATTAACAACTTAAAAGTGTTCTAACCAGTCTAATGCTGCAACTGAGGGTTTTTGATTCTCACATTTAAACGATTAGTTGATTAATTTATTAGTCCCTTGGTTCTTAAACTATGGTACATGTGCCATTAGTGGTATGTGAGCTGCCTCTAGTGGTACGTAAAGGAATGTCTGAAAAGAAGAAACAAAAAACCGAATAAATAAAACATTAAATAAAAAAATAAATATATATACATAATGTAATTTAAAATGGGTTTTGCATTTACTGTAACATTTTATTTCACTATTAGCCTCCTACATAGTCATGTTCATGCAGGTAGTGAACGCATACATCCATGATTGGTTAGGAGCTAAAATGTGATGTGGATAGTGATATTAAGCAGTGAGGTAAAATGAATGATTCCAAAACACTGCCATTGTGTCTGACAAACGGGAACTATTTGGAACAGAAGTGTGGCCCAGGAGGACCCCTTGTCCAACCAAATTAGCTCTGGTTCTTGATCTGGTTCCGTTCAGGATTCAGCAACGATCAACAACAACAACAAATTGGGAATAAACCTGCGTCCTGCCTGAACTTTCTGTGGCTGAATAGGGTCGGCCTGTGGTGCTTGGACAGCCTGATGCTTTCTGACGTGGTATGCAGTGTAAGGAATTAAAGAAATACTGGATCAGTCAATTGAGAGAAAAAAAGTCAAAAAAATGAAAAATAAATTGTGTTTTTAAAGCAAAAATGAAAAACATCGTTAAGTTCCAGCTTCTTATCTGTTAGGATTGTCTGCTTTCTTTGTCTGATGTGACAGTAAACTGAATATCTTTGGGTGTCGGACTGTTGAAGACTTCATTTTGGACTTTAGGAGACTGACTGTTTTCTGACGTTTAGTCCAAAGAAAGTAATCCTCAGATTAATGAAAATTGTACTACAGACTGCGTTTGTTGTTTCCTCCAGACGTCTGCCAAACCTCCTGTTCAGGCTTCAGTACATCGCCAACTCGATTGCAGAGACTTGCACAATGTTCCTGTAGAGAAATTTGTTTTGTTTTGTTGTTGCTGCTAACTGTCATTTCAGAGATGATGTGTTTTCAGTTTAGTGAAACATCTGCTAACAGAAATGCAGCTCAGCAGCTTCTTAATATACTGTGGGCTAAAAGTGTTTATACACGGTATTTTATGAGGCAATTTCAGCAGTGTCTAACTGTGGTTAGAATTTAAAGTCCCCCTCCACACTTATTGTGGGCTGTTTGAGCCTCACTGTGCAGACTGATGTGTGCGTGGAGAGTTTGTATTCACACTAATCGGCAGGAAACCAATCATGGTCCAGTATGCAGTGTACACAAGAGCCAGTTCCATTTTGGATGTGCTCCCCGCTCAGCAAAATGCTCAGAATTATTAAGCTGCAACGCTAACACATCAACTCCAATCAGCTCAGCTCGTTTTCAGGTTGTGAACATTAATTGGTCGCTAAAAACTGCAGAGTTTCTGTCTTCTCAGCCAACAAAGTATGATCAGACATTTTTGATTTTATTTAAGCCTTTAGTTAGCTTTATTATTTGAGTTTAGATAAAAAGCCCCAATCCCTAGTGGTTTGGAAACTTCAGCGCAGATCAGCCGATCCAGCCCATAACACTTGTGACGCCCGCTGGGCCCTGGGTGGTTCAGAATGTTCTGGCAGCCTCATCTCCAACAAACTGTGATACAACTGTGTGTTCTGACACCTTTCTATCAGAACCAGCATTAATTGTTTCAGCAGTTTGAGCTACAGAGCTTGTCTGTTGGATCGGACCACACAGGCCAGCCTCAGTCCCCACGTACATCAATGAGACCGGGAACACCCCACAAGAGCTGCAGAGATGTTCTGACCCAGTCGTCAAGCCATCACAACCTTTTCAAGTCGCTCAAAATACAAAAGATGTATTATAATATAATATAAAGTGCATTTTGTAGCATGAAATTAGAGCTTTCCTTTCTGGGATCGTGACTAATTGTGTTTTTTTTCTAACAGGTAAAAAACGTTTTCTTACATCAACTATGTTTCTTGCCTTCCTGATTGGTTCGTTTTCAATTCAGATGCAGTGGATGCTTAGACAATGCCATTCAGAGCAGCTAGGAGCGAGCCAGAGGAACCTGTTTTTTTAACACGCATTATCATTGTCTCAGGTCTCTAACCTGTTTCAGTTTCAAGCAAATAATGCAAGAAGCCTTTATTTT